TTGATGTCGTAGGGTACCCAGTAATTTAAGGCGTTGGAAGAAGTGATTCGCGTGGAGAACGCGGATATCCTTTGGATCGGTGCAGTTACTGGGCTGGAAGGTTCAGGAGCAATCTGAACACTGGAGGAAAAGTTTCTGGGATGCAGCAGGGTGTGATGCCGTCTGCGGCATGTAAGGCAGGAGTGGGCACTGGGGCAATCCCGCTGCTGATGGCCTCGTGCCAAACAATTCAAGCAGAGTTGCTTTCTTCGGATGATATTTGACCTCTCGACTACGGTCATTTTAAGGAAACGGGGACATCTTCGCAGGGGGTGGTTTTCCCTGGAACATAGGTCACACCTTCTGGGTCTGGGTGTTGGAGTCACTCTGAAGTCGGAAGAATAAAGCCGGGACGCTGGGGCCCTCGGAGTCGCCAACTTTGGCGGAACATGCGGTGAGCTGGTAGGCGTAACGTCGTCGATGGCCTCCAGCGTACGATGGCGTTCGGTCAGAAACGCGTCTAGCTCTTTCCAAGTCGGAATTCTGTCTTTGTTGTGGATGGATTGTTCCCACAGAGAAAGGGTTACTTCGGGAAGCTTTGAGGAAACCATATACACCAAAAGACTATCCCAAGCCTCAACTTGAATGGAGGACATCTCTAGGGCGGTCAGGCAGCTTTGGATGGTGCCTTGCAGGTCTTTTAGCGCGACTCCCGATTCTTGAGGGACAGCCTGGATGTTGAAGAGGATTTTCAACTGGCTGTTGACCAACAACCGCCGGTTCTCGAAGCGGTCGGTGAGGCTTTGCCAAGCTGCGACGAACCCCTCATTGGTGAGCGGGGCTTTGGAAACAATGGCGTGCGCTTCGCCAGTTGTCTTGGATAGGAGGTGGAACAATTTCTCCACCGGGGTGAGACGCGAGTTGTGAATATAAACCGCCGTGAAAAGGTCTCTGAACGTGGGCCAACGAAGATAGTCGCCCGCAAACACCTCGGTGTCTACCGGTGGTAAACGACAACCGGTGGAAGGGGGTGGGTGGCCACTGCTGGAAGCCAGAGTTGACTGGGCCGCGCCCCTTTCTATTATCTCCTGCAGCTGGGCCACACACCTGGAATAAACGGAGTAGCAGTAGCTATACTTAGCTTCTAACACCGTTGGAGTGTCCGCGCCGTCGTCAGACACGGAGAGCAATTCGGAGCAGCTCTCGTAACTCTTCTCCACCTTTTCCCACAAAACCCGGATTTGGTCGCGACGCACTTTACACGTGGACGGAGAGGGCTGGGTGGTTTCTGGGGCGTCTAGAGGTTGGATCTCTGCCGCGAATTGACTAAGATGGTCTGTCGTGGCAATAAACTTCCTCAACGCAATGTCGATGGCGGTTTGAGCCATTTTTGTGGTCGAGCAGTGGATTTAAAGTTAATCGGGGAGGGTCGCGGAAATGCGGACTGGGATCTTCCCAAACGGATTGACGGAATCGGCCGTAATTAAAGTACAGGAATAATTTTAATTCGAAATTAAAAAGCGTTGTGTATTATAGAATATATAATATATTTCGGACGTGGAGGTTTGCTTATATTTTGCTCAGAAAATTGGGCACGAATTGTGGATGGATCCCGTAATAAATTAAATACGAATTTAGGAACGTATTGGTCGGAAGTAATTGATGCCAACTTTATTTATCACGGATCCGAAATGGTGGAAATAAACCCTTGGCTTTTGTTTGAGAGACAACTCAATGGGTCATGCCGTCGGCAAAGCAGTGCGGAACTCAAAAATAAACAAGAGGAAAGAACAACACGACCGTTGCGGCGGCTCAGTTGAAAAGATTGAATTAAAAATTAATAACTTAAATTAATTAATTAAATTCAAATTCTGGATCTGTTAATGAATGTTTAACTATGAGCGCAGATGTTTAAATTTTTAAACGCTAGGAAGGTAGTATTTAAAAAACAAACATCCGTTTTTGGTCGCGGAGAAGAGCTCACTGGGATAAGCCGTCGGCAAAGCAGTGATGAGTGAGGGACCCAAAGAACTTAAGGGGTGGCAACAACACAGCCGTTGCGGCGGTTAAATCGAAGACAATTAAAAACACTCGTTTGTGTTTGGGTTTCGATGCTCAGCGCAGAATAGCGCGAAGCTTGTATGTATGGAGGTGTGTGTGTAAATTTGTATTTCTTTCACCTAAATGAAAATAGGATAAATAAAATTCGGATAATTTTAAATTCTTGGCTCACGAAATTTCCTTAAAATTGTAGGTGGCGGATTTTATCTCGTCGGCACTGTTCGGCTGTGGAAAGTATGAGTGCAGGTGCTTGTACACGCTCTAGGCACAAAGAGGAGACGAAAAAAAAATTACAAATAATTACTTGCCCTTATGCGGGCGTGGGTATATATGTATGTAATAGCTTGGATCGGTCAGCGCAGAATAGCGCGAAGCTTGCCCAATATATACGTATGTATGTAAAAAAAAAGAAATAAATAATAACAGGATTTATAAACTTCGGATAATGTTAAATCCTTGGATCACGAAAGTTGTGGAAAGTTGTAGATGGCGGATTTTGTCTCGTAGGCACTGTGCGGCTGTGAAATGTATGAGTACAAGTGCTTGTACACGCTCTAGGCACAAAGAGGAGACGAAAAAGAAATGACCAATAATAACTTGATATGCCCTTATGCGGGCGTGTGTATATATGTATGTATGTAATTGGAGGTCGATGCTCAGCGCAGAATAGCGCGAAGCTTGCCCAATATAGGTATCGTAAATTGAAATAAATAAAAAATAGGATTTATAAAATTCGGATTATTTTAAATCCATGGTTGACGAAATCTGTTTCTTGAACAACTGTAGGGTTTGTATTGGCACAGTGGAGCGTCGAGAAGTGGACTGTATTGAATTGTGCGAACAGAAAAATGTGTATGGATACAGCATACAAAAAATATCGTGACAGCGGCAGACTGTTCGGCGATCAGGGTGAATTCCCGAAACAAGCGCACACCGGCTGGCCAATATTAATTATGCCTTTCTTTTTGAAACACAATTTCACTGTTCACGGAGAACTTTTTTTGCACGGAAATATTAGCACAAGTTTAGAATGCGTGTGTGTGTATGTGGCTGCACATAGGCCTCGACCGTTGGCAAGTGGATGAACAACGGGGAATCGAAGAGACGGCGAGGAGGATGGCGGCGCACACAAAACGGACACGGATGGAAAATTTCGAGGTTCGGAGGCGAATAGAAAGTGGGATTTCTCACTGCCGTGGTGTCAGGAAAACTCGGACGGGGAGTTGACACGAACAAAACAATAAATTTTGCAGCGGTGCGACCGAAATTAAATGTTCGGCCCACTGTCTAAGACCGGCAGCGAGAACAAGACGGAATCAAGCATATACTTATCTCAGCGGAAAAATCACCGGGAACTGCTGGTGAAGGGACGGAAGGATATCCTGATCCGGCTCGAAGGACCAATGTTTGTAGGGGGGCGATCCTGCCGCTGAAGATCCTGTCTTGTCAAATGTAGCCCAATGGAAATTCCCACGTCGCAAGCGAAGGTGAAAAGTAAAGGACGGGGGCGTCGTGGGCAAATCAAATGGTCAGCTTTATTGCGCTGCATACATAAGACTCACTCTAGCTTAAAAGTAAGGGCCGCGCTCCCGACCGATAAGCTACGCTTAACAGTGTGAGAGCGGGCCCGAGAAGTGGAGCGCGAACAAGCCGTCCCTCAGCTCGCTTAGCAGCGAGCGAAGCTCGGGAATTCGGGAGCGGGCGTTCGCGAACATCGAAGAGTGGGCGCGGGGCGCTTAGACTAGCCCGATGAGCAGTGCTCGAAGAGCCGACTTGCGGGAGTGCAAGAGCGGCCAAGGCTTTGGAGGCTCGGTGGACAGAGGCGGCGCCGCGGCCGCCGCGAAGGGCCTTCTGACGTGAACAATGGCTATAGCTCAAATTTGATGAAAATCAGTTGAAAACTGAAAATGTTATTTGTAATAATTTATCGATCGTTCCTATGGGAGCTAAATGATATAGCAGTCCGATTTTCATAAAATTTTACACAAAATTGTAGAATAATATGAAATGGCTATATCTTAAATTTGATTAAATTCTGTTGAAAACTAAAAATGTTATAATTTTTTTTTTTTTTAATTTTCCGATCATTCCTATTGCAGCTACTTGAATTAGTCGTCCGATCCGGCCCGTTCCGACATATTAACGAGTGAGAGTATATAGAAGGCTAACTACAAAGTTTCCTTCAGATAGCTTCAAAACTGAGAGACTAGTTTGCGTAGAAACGGACAGACGGACAGACGGACAGACGGACAGACGGACATGGCTAGATCGAATCGGCTATTGATCCTGATCAAGAATTCATTGCGTTGCAAACTTCTGACTGAAATTATAATACCCTGCAAGGGTATATAAAGTACCACTAATGAGGGACCCATAACGATGAAATTTAAAATAAAAATGTGAGATTCAACCTTTGTAATCTCTTAAAAATTATTTCTGCTGTTCTATTAATACAAACTAAAAAATATGCTGTATTTTTTTCAATTAAGTAAATTTTTCCTTTACAGAAACGTAAATTTCCTTGATTTCGCTATAAAAAAAAATAAATCATATGAAGCAAGCCAAAGTCGCCACGCTAAAAGTTTATAAAAGTATAACTTAAATGTTAAAATTTAGGTTTGAAACAAACTTTAAATTGATTAATTAAATAATTTCAAACATTTTCAGTATATATTTAAAAAAATGGAAATATCTTAAAAAACGCAAATATATAGTTTTATTCCGTCTATTTTCCGATAATTTCTATACAACCATAAAATAAGCTGATGAGGCCCTTTTCGAAATATGACTACCTGCAATTGAAGGAAAACTATCTACAAAGTTGTATTCAGATAGCTATAAAATTAGGAGACTATATACAAATACCAAGTCCCCGAAATAATATAACGAATAAAAATTGATACTTAAGTATATTTTATTAAGTTTACAGAATTTTGTAAATTATATAATTTGCACTTGATTTAAGGCCAAAAATAAATTAGATATGAACTTAACTTAGATCCCGGTCAGATTCCATTTCTTGTAGGCTTTTTTACACACTTCAGTTTCTTCCTTAAATTGAACTATTTTTAATGACTGTTTTGTGAAGGCGAAAGAGAGAAATACAGAAAAGTTCGTGGAAGCACCAATTGTTTGTATGATTCTCTTAAGCTCGATCGATTCGCACCAGGTTTATACAAGATTGCAATTTCTTAAGCCCAGCCAAGGACTTTGGCAAGATTTCACTAACAATTTTCGATGTGGTTGATGAAGACTCCTCCTAGCTTAGCCTAAACCTTACGGGCTAAACAAAAACTTTGCAACAGAGTGCATCTGTTCACGCCAGGACTCCATCCAGAGCGTGGATCACTCCATTGGTGGCTGGAATATTCGACGTGACCATCTGGGCATCGTTCACCTTGATCTTGCCAGCCGATGTCTTCTGCAGGATGACGGTCTTGCCTGTGAATAGCGAGTCCTTGACCTGGTAGAACCGCATTCCGGCAGAGAAGAGAGCCCCCGGCACGATGTGCTTCATTGCGAACTGCTCTGCGGCCTCCTTGTCATTGTAGAGCTTCTCCAGTGTGTCCGAGTCCAGCTCGCTGAAACTCTTGTCCACGGGGGCGAAGACTGTATAAGTCTTTACACCTGCATTGTCGGATCAATGATTAGATTCAAAACTATTCTCAGAGTTGTAGCGGTTCTTACCCTTGCTCTGCAACTTCTCAGACAGTCCAGAGGTGTACAGAATCTTAAGGAAATTGCTGAAGCGACCCTCGCGATCAGACTGCAGGGTTTGCAGTAAGTCTCCGACGGGCAAGGGGAACATGACGCGATCGACAGCGTGGGCCACACCCTGTGGGATCTTGATGTCCTTTTTATTCAACACAACCATGGCTCCGTTGATGGTGGTGAGCTGATAGTAAAGTTATTCTGTTAAAACTTTGACAAATAAATATGGCAAAACACTAGCGTACAGTAACATCGTTCCACTCCTGGTCGTGCATGTTGTACTGATTAACTCGCAGTTGAGTTCCAGCCAGGGACACACCGGTCATCTCGTCCTGCAAGGTGGCGATTTCAAAAGCTCCCGGAATCACATGATGGAGCAGCAGCTAAAACACAATTAAACACAAAATATTCATAAAATTAATTTAGTACGGAAAATATATATATATACTCAGACTTACCCCACTTAATAGCCTGGGATTGGACTGGAACTTCTCCTCGGCCCGTTCTGGTCCGCCCAACTGAACCAACAGGTTCTTAAAGGCCTTGTCTGTGGGCACAAAGATGGTGTAAGGTCCGGTCTCGTTGAGTATGCTGTCCAGTCCCGACTGGCGCAGGTACTTGGCCATGGCAAACAGGCCGTTCGACTTCAGAATCTGGAGTAGATCCTCGCTGGGGTTGGACAGCACAGAGCTGGCCACAGGACTGGCTTGCGCCGCCTTCTCGGTATTCTCCGTCTCCTGGACGAGGGCATCGGCGTACTGGGGCACGGGTGGCAGTATGTCGGGGCTATTGACGATGTCGGACAGCCGCTCTGTGACCACTGGCAAGTGGGTCGAGGCTCCTCCCAGATACGGGGAACCTGTCACCGTGGAACCACTGTACACGGGAGCTGGAGTGGTGCGAATCAGGCTGGCAGCATTGGGAGTGCTGCTCTCGAACACCAGATTGATGCGAGCTGTGGTTGGGGCGGAAGTTGTGGTTGTGGTCGAAGTCCTCGATGGATGGTATTGCCGGTGGTTGCTGGGCGTTCCCCGGGAAACGAAGGGCGTTGGAGTGGTGGTGGTTGTCGTGGTTGTGGTGGTGCTAGTGGAGGTTGTGACTGGAGCCCGCGTAGTCTGGATGATCTTGCCGCTCTTAATCTCCACGAGTTCGTCATTAGGCAAAGTCAGACGCGAAACGGAAGGCGGCAGCTTGATCTCTCCGCTCCTGATGCGTTCTAGAATGCTCTCCACCTCGCTACCCGTTTGCTTGGTTTCCTTCTCGCCATTGGCCTTAACTCCCTGAATCTTGAAGCTGCCATCGGCCTGCTCCTCAAGGTACACATAGGTGGCCTTCTTCTTAGGCGGTAGAGTGGGTGGGGCAGGGGTGGCTGGCGCCTGCGACTTAGAGCTGAGGCCCTCGATCTCGTAACCATCGGGGATGAGACCACGCTTGGCCAGCTCTTCCAGGGAGGGTGGATCATCCGAGTCCGAGGTAATCACTGCTGAGCTGGCAATGCTGTTAGCCCCACTGCTGATACCCTGGATGTCACCTGCTCCGCCGCCATAGAGAGCAGCCAAGCTGGAGAGGTCCACGCCACCAGGAAGGCCACCTGCAGGCAGCGTGTCGGACTCCTGAGGATCGGGGGATCGCAGTATCTGCACCTTACCACCACCTGGCAGCTCAAGGTCCTTGCTCTTGCTAGGGGCCACATCGCTCAGACTGAGCTTAGCATCACCACCCAAAGCCTGCTGGGCGAGAAGGGTCTGCAGCTGCTCCTGGGAGTAGGCCTTCTGGCCCTGCACCAGGTTCGGATCTGTGGTACGGATAACCTGAACCCTCTGGCCGTTGGGCAACACCAGGTCCATTTCATCATAGGTCTTGTTGCCAGTCAGCGGCTGCTGTGGAGCCTCGGACAGGGCAGCCTTTAGCTGTTTGAGTAGATCCTCGCGTGCAATGGTCTTTACCGGCTTCTTGCTCTTCTGACTGGGATACTTGCCCAGTTCCGACTTCACCTGAGCGTAAATATTCTTCTTTGGAGTGGTGGTTGCCTCTGTTGTCGTGGTCGTGGTGGTAGTGGTCGTTGTCGTCGTCGGGTGCTCCTTGTAGTACTGCTGCAGGGCGCTATTAAACTGGTTGTATTCGGTGGGATGGGCCACAGGCCTTCCACGAGCCGGTGCTCCCACATAGGGTGAGTGCTGATAGTTGCCATTGTGCTGCGTGATGATCGTGGGCAGGATGTGCTGCTTGATCTGATGCTGCTTAACCAGGAACTCCTCGTGCTGCTGGCGCACCTTGTGCTGCTGCTTCTCATACTGCTTGGCAACGAACTGCTCGTGCTTCTGGATCAGCTTCTGCTTATACTCCTGGTCGGAGGGCTGGCTCTGAGTCTGGACTGGTGCCTGGGCGTTCACGAATTGGTGCTGGAACTGGGGCTGCTGCTGAGGCTGCTGCTGAGGTTGTGGCTGGAAGGTTCCTCGGGTGGGCTCTGGGAAGGGAGTTGCCTGCAGGTTGCTAAAGATCTGGGGCACGGGCAATCCCAGCTGGGGAGTCAGCTGATACTGCTGTGGCTGCTGCTGCGTGGCCTGCTGCTGATAGTTGAACTGCCCCTGCTGCTGCTGTGGCTGGGAAATGGTCTGAAAGGTGGGCACTGGTGCCTGGCTGGGCAGCTTCTGGGTGGTCTGGGGCAGCACTTGGGGTCCAAATGGCTGCGTCTGCTGGTAGGCAAACTGCTGCTGATGCTGCTGCTGCTGTTGGTAAGTTTCCAGCGAGGGTTGGGGCGGAAAAGCAGTGGACTGCAGACGGGAATCTAGGGGGAGATTATGACTTGTGTCAGAGGTTAAAGATCGAAAGGAAGATCAACAGTTGCACTCACCGAATTGCTTGTGACGCTGCTGCTGCTGCTGCTGCTGCTGTTGCGGATGCTGCTGCTGGGAACCAGCAAAGTTGCGCAAGTCCAAGAAGTTCTGATGATGCAGATCAATGCCTCCGACTGGTGGGGACAACTGCTGCTGCTGCTGGGGGAACTGTGGAGCAGTCTGCAGTTGGTTTTGGGTCGAGCGCTGGAACTGCTGATTGCTGTGGGGCTGCTGATGCTGCTGCTGATGCTGCTGCTGTGGCTGGTGTGGGAACTGCCCAAAGCGGTGTTGCTGCTGCGGGGCCTGGTGGTGAAGGTGTGTGTGCTGTTGCTGCGGACGGTGAGGAATGGGCAGCTCCACACCCGCCTGGACAAAGTTTTGCTGGTTGTACTGCTGCAGATTCAGCTGGCGGCGTTGCGAGTTATGAAAGGGCGGCTGCAAAGAGGAGGAGACGGAGCGGAGTGAGTTACAAGCTCTGCAAGTGCAATTGCCGTTACATAATCTAGGCTGGTGCAGAAAACCAGCTTCGTTTGGCCCCAGATCTTTCTTCAGCTCACACAGATAAGTCAGCGCTGAGCAATCCCCCCAAAGCGCTCCTAAAATAGACATGAACCAGTTTCAGTTTCAACGGTTGCAATAGCTATCTCTGCTCCATTTTGGCCAGACTAACCTGTGCGTCTGGCTCCGCTGTGGGGTCCTTTTGAGCGGGCACTCGGTCAAGTTGAAGTCCATAAAAATGGCAAACTTGTTTGGCATAATCGCACCTTATGTAGCGAAAATGTTGCGGAAGAAGAAAGTTGACTGAGTGCTGGTTATGGATGAATTTCTATCCATCCTCGTTATTCCATAGATTAAATGATGGTAATCTCAGTCAAAGATAAGCGCAAATTGTGAATAATCTGTCTGAGTAATGACAGTTCCAGGCCCTTGCCCAATTGAAGTGCGCTCTATTCACTCGGTAACCCACTTTTATTGTTTCCCATCTGCAGTTGTCATTAGTGTGTCTCTCCCTACAATCTTGTGGCCAAGCTGCCCGTCCCACTCTGCGTATTCGTACTGCCAATCGAGAGGCCAGCCAGTGGTCACACATCGGGCAATTGTTTAACAACAGTTATCCAACATCATTGCCAAAGCGGCCCCAGGAGAGCTAAGCCTCTCTGCAGGCCCAGGTACTGTTTGCCTTTAGTGTTTTGTTTTCTTTGGCTTATGGCTAAACTGCTGTATGTATAATTTAATTGCCTCGGCAATAAATCTTCTTTTTTTGCGGAGCTTTGCCGATGCCAGATTGAGCCGTTATCAGGCTGCTTGGGAGCCCCGACTCTTTCTTTTCGCATGGTAATTATGTTGTTGCCGCTAATGCTGCGCCTCATCATGATGCTGCCTCATCATGTTGCCCGATGATGCCGCCAAGAGTTGGCTCTGGATTATGCAACCTAATCACAGTGCCACGAATAACCAGGAGAAAAGTACAAGATGTGCGAACAGGTGAAGGAATGAGCTTTTGTAATCGAATAATAACTCATTCCACAGTCGTTGCCAGTATTAATTCAATCTAAAAAATCAAATGCCCTGTCATGCATCTTCATCTCCAATTTGAGTTTTCCACTAGCCACAATTTTCTTTCTCCACGAACGGCAGAGATGACTTTTCCCTACGCCTTGCCCGGCTGGCTGGTGAAAACGTCAATCAATCATCAATCAAGTGCCAAAGCAATCAGTGTTCCAGGCCCAAGAGCCACTGAACCCAGTCTTCAGAGGGCCCTGTATGCCTCCCCGCCTGTCGATACCCGACATGTGTTCAACGTGTCAATTTCTCGGTTTAGTGTATTCATTCAATATTTTCACGGCGCCTGTATGCAAAACGCTTTCGTTTTCAAGCACCGCAGTGGAGAGAGCCCCCAATCAATAGTCGCGCATGCGCCGTAACCCATTAATGCAGGTGAAGTCCGTGGTCGTTGCTGTCACCAATTGCCACCGCACCGCAGACGAGTGACATCCAAAGAGTGTCAGATAATGGACAAATGCGGATTAGCTGCTGAGTAAATCAAGTGTCACGGTTCGAAAGAAGGTGACAGAAATATTGGAAATGCCTATTGGTGGTTATTTGCGACATATATGTATAATGGGTTGTTTGGTAAAGCTCACACAAAACATTTAATAACCTTAAGTTGTTATAATGTTTGATTTCTAAACCTCTACAAAACACTAACTCTTCCCATTATATTAAGGTTTTCAAATACCACACAAAAAACTTCCTTTATTACACACAATATTTCAAGACCTAATCGAGTTTTTTCTTTTGTAAAACTTTGTTAACAAATGAAATATTTTCTTGTATAAACAAAGAAAGTTCCATTAAAGCAACAAATGGGGCTGGACTGCGACAACAAACTCCATTTCGTTACGTAAACTTTTCCATTCGAGGGCTGTCAAATCAAATGAGCATTATGCTAATCGGGGAAGATACACCAAGAGATAGCCGGCAACAGGTAGAAGTTGCTGCATTCCTCCAGCTGGAAACCAGTTCGCATCCACATTTTTCACATGCTCACATGGGGCGTTGTGATCCATGATGTATCTGTCAGTTACATGACTCGAACTGCCGGCTAATTTGTTAATAATTCATAATTGATTTCCCATCACACATCGGATCGGGACGGGTATTACGAGAGCTAGCTTCGGCTGAGATGAGATACAAAATGAAAGCGAAATTTCGGAAATTTCTTTTCGTTTTCGGGCTCAGTTTCATTTCGCAGTGAAAGTGATTTGCCAGGCATTTAGTAGGCACTTAGGCAGCTTATGTTAATTAGAATTTAATAGATCAAGGCCCAAGATATATTCGGGCCCCAAGATATGGTTCGCTTAATTAAGAGTTACCAAAAACCAGAGGCCGTAAATTCTGCGAGTTGCACAACAGCCTCTGGCATCTGACAGGTTCTTCTCTCGAGTCGCACAATTTACTACCTTTTTTTGTTGGCTTAGATCATGTCAATGGCCAATGGCACCAAAGCTGGCCTCGTTTCCTTCGATTGCCTTTCGGATTTCCTGTCTGCCCCACAGCCAACTAAGAAAAACTAAATGCATCTGGCCTCCAGCCTGCACTGGATCTCTGTGTATTCTTTGTTTTGGATTTTTAAGATGCATTTGCTACTGACTTCTTTTTATTCGACTTGAGGTTGTTTTTGGCAATTCGTGTAGTCCCAAGGCTGCCCCAAACTCTACTGAATGCCTTAGAGACTAGAGGATCTTTTTTTGTGGGAAGTTGTGCAATTTGTGGTATACCCATAAAAAGGGATGTTCATGCAAGATGTCATCACTGTGTTCTTTAAATTAAAATAAGGTCTGTTAGCAGAGTTTTATGCAATTATTTTGATTGATTTTTTAATGATATCGGAAACTAGGGCACTTAACTAAAATGATTTGTTATTTGACAGTCAACACTAAACGCCTCATTAAATTGTTTGTCTTGTTTATCATCGCAGCCTCAGCTAGATCTTTGAAATCGTGCTCACATCATTTCGACATCTCATCGATGGCATCTGAATAAAGTCCAGAACGGAGTTCGAAATCGCAGTGACTGCCAGAACTGGTTAAATCGAAGACAACCTCCTTCGGCGCTCCCCTGTTGACAGTTTCCCAATGGCAGCAAATGTGCATAATAAGCTTTTTTGATGTCAGTTGATGGCTTAGTTTTGGATCCGTGGCTGTGGCGACTCGGCGACTCGCAGCATTGGTCAATCCGAGGATTTGGCAATTCCCTTTCACTTTTCCGGCTATCGACAAATGACTGCTGCCGTTTGCAAAGAGATGCCCCGAAAAACTAAGCGAACAAAATATTTTTGAGTGGATTTCCTAAAGGCATTTTAATTGCCAGCAAAATAGCTAGCTGGCTAAGCAAATAAGTAATTAATTTGCGGGCGCACAGAAGAATGCTCGGCGAACAATAGTAGCACCAGCACCAGCTCCAGTAACAGCAAAAAGTGAAATTTACATAAAATTGTGTAATTACCCGAGGTGAATAAGAAATTGCCTCGAGCGGGGCTTTAGCCAACACCTACACCTTCCCCAAAAAGGGGCCGCTGGCTACATGAAAGCGAAAGAAGCCACCGGCCAGCGGTAACAAACAAACAACCGTAGTGCAACAATGAAAAGGTTCCAGCTGTAACAAAAAGCAGCCCAAACAGAAACAAAAACCAAAAGTTATTTAACCATCGCTTTAAGCCCCAAAAAGTGCGGCAAAAAGAAACCCGACCAGCTCGGTTACTGTTCGCGTACTAATCTCTAGATATTATCACCGGACAGACGAGGAGAGTGCTGCTAAAAACACTTTTACAAATTAGGACAATTTAACTGACAGACCCAAACCAATGAGATCTGTATGATTATCTAAATAATTACTGTGGCCATAAATGGTTATAAATTCCAGTTATGCGATTGTACATATGTTTGTCCATTTGAATAAATGAAGATACAGTATTTTGTTATAATTTGAAACTTAAAATAACAAAATGCTTTTGTAATTTATTACCTGGAAATATATATTTTTTCTCAATACATGCGCCAAAGAATTTAATTAATGTTTTTAGTTCCTATTTTGAATGCGTGGTACTATAGGAATTCGATTTGATTTTATTTGGTCATTAGTTAAACTTCAACCGAGGACAGCCTAAGATACAAGATGCGTAACGCAAGCGCAATTTGTTTTTGAGATTTTTACGCACTCGAGAAAGGGAAGTACTAATTGGTAACTGAAAATTTGTTATTTATATTTCACCAGCACATATAGTTCCATCAAACTGCTTCTCTTAGTTGATTGCCAGCTTTGTTGCATCCACAAAGCTCTGAAAATATTGCATAACTTGGGGTAAAGTGTTAAGGTAATGTAATCGCAATTATCTAGAGTGGCATACAAATTTAATTTAATTGAATTGAATTGAAGATGCAGCAAATGGTTTTGCGCATCAGGCAAAATGCTAATCGCAAGAGTTGTTCAAAATCGTTTCCTGGCACATCGTCACCCACGCAGCCCACACAGGTAGCTCCAACTCCGACTCAGAGTTGGCTTCCTAATCCAAATTCAAGTTACAATCCAGCAAGTGCATCCGACGACACTCGACTTAGTCTGCTCATATGCTTAATTTGACACACTCTGACACTTTTTACGAGCTGCAAGATTTATTATATCATTAGCATTGCCAGGGGCAGCATCTGCGGATTGCAAGGCGCCGCCGCTGCCGCTGCAAACTAAGGCAAGAAAATGTAATTTAAATAAACCCACTTCTTTGTGATTTGCTCTTGGATTTGGGCATGAGCAAATGTAGGTTTATGGGCCATCTGTTTTTGGGTAATTAACATGTTCATATGGCTAATTGCGTAGAGTTGGTTTTTTAAAGCGCCAGAAAGATAGTTTTGCCTTAATGGCAACTTAACTGAAAG